AGAGTTAGTTCTTTGAAAGAATAAATAAAATAGATAAACCTCTAGGCAACATTATCAAAAAAAGGAAAGAAAAAACTCAAATTCATGCAATAATGATTGAAAATGATGAAACCACTACAGATCCTGTAGAAACTCAGAAGATCATCAATACCTACTTCAAAAATCTTTACTCTCATAAGATGGAAAACACAGAAGAAATGGACAGACTCCTAGATACATATGAATTACCAAAACTTAATCAAAAGATATAAAAATTCTGAATAGCTCAATATCAACCAATGAAGTTGAAAATGTAATAAAAAACTTAGCAACAAAGAAAAGCCCATATCCTGATGGATTCACAGCTGAATTCTATAAGAAAGGAGATTTAATGCCAATTCTTCTCAAACTCTTTAATGAAATTGAAAGGGAGGAATTCTCTGTAACTCACCCCTGGAGGCAAGTATCACCCTGATACCAAAACCAAAGAAAGACCCAAAGAAGAGAATTATAGGACAATCTCCCTAATGAACATAGATGCAAAAATCCTCAATAAAATATTACCAAACAGAATGCACCAAATCATCAAGAAGATTATACATCAGGACTAAGTGGGATTCATCCCAGGAATTCAGGGATGGTCCAATATATGCAAATCAATTAATGTAATACACCATATCAATAGAGCCAAAGACAAAAAGAAAAGATCATTTCAACAGATGCAGAAAAAGCATTTGATAAAGTCCAACATTCATTCATGACAAAACCCCTACAGAAAATCAGAATAGATGGTCTTTACCTCACTCTGATATAAGCCATCTATGAGAAATGAACAGCCAACATCATACTAAATGAACAAAAACTGAAAGCTTTCACTTTAAAATCAGGAACAAGACAAGGATGTCCACTGTCATCACTGCTATTCAATATAGTGCTGGAAAGAACAGCCAGAGCAATTAGACAAGAGAGAGCAATAAAAGGAATAAGGATAAGAAAGGAAGAAATTAAATTATCATTATTAGCAGACAACATGATACTCTACATAGAAGACCCCAAAACTCCACCAAAAGGCCTATAGATTTAATAACCAAATTCAGTAGTGTAACTGGATACAAGGTCAACACTCAAAAAATCAATAGCATTCTTGTACACAAACAACAAACACACCGAGAGAGAAATTAGGGAAACCACACCTTTCACAATAGCATACAAAAAAATGAAATACTCAGCAATCAATCTAACAAAGTAAATAAAAGATCTGTACAGTGAAAATTTCAGTACCTTGAAAAAAGTGATTGAAGAGGATTTCAGAAAATGAAGATATTTCTTGCTAATACATAGGAAGAACCAACATTGTGGAAATGGCCATACTCCCAAAACTGTTGTACAGATTTAATGCAATCTCAATTAAAATACCATTAGCATATGTCACAGATCTAGAGAAAACATTCCTAAAATTCATCTGGAACCAGAAGACACCTAGAGTAGCAAAAGCAATCCTAGGCAACAAAGGAAAGGCAGGAGGCATCACAATCCCTGACTTCAAATTATATTACAACACTACTATGATAAAATCAGCATGGTACTGGCAAAAAAACAGACCTGAGGATCAATGGAACACATTGGAATTTATCTTTGACAAAAGGGCCAAATATGTTCACTGGTAGAAAGATAGCCTCTTTATTAAATGGTGCTGGGAAAACTGGCTCTTCATATGTCAAAGACTAAAACTAGACCCATGTCTATCACCATGCACTTAACTAAAGTCAAAATGGATTAAAGATCTAAATATTAAAACAGGTAGGGCCAGGGATATAGCTCAGTAGCACAAGTGCCTGCCTGGCAAGTGCAATGTCCTGAATTTGATTCCTGGTACCAAAATAAATAAATAAATATTAAAACAGAAACACTAAATCTATTGGAAGAGAAATTAGATAGAAATCTTGAAGACATAGGAGTAGGCAGAGAGTTCATGAACAAAAACTAAACTGCACAATAAGTACTTCAAAGAATTAACAACTGGGATCTCATCTTACTGAAAAGTTTTTGCATATCAAAGAAATCACAAATAAAGTAAACAGAAAACCCACAAATTGAAAAAAATTTAGGTAGCTCTCCCTCAGACAAAGAACTTCTATCTAGAACATAAAAGGAATTTTTAAAAAAATCGGGTCCCCCAAATTCAAAGATGCAATCCAAAAATGAGCATCTGAGATAAATACACACTTCTTGAAGAATACAAATGGAAGATAAATATATGAAAAAATATTCAACATCATTGATCATTTGAGAAATGCAAATTAAGACAACACTGAGATTCCACCTCACCCCCAGCAAGAATGGCTATCATCAAGAAATCAGTAACAAATGCTGAAAGGGTGTTGGGGAAAAGGGAACACTTCTCCACTGCTTGTAGATGTGTAGACTGGTGAAACCACTGTGGAAATCAGTGTGGAGATTCCTAACAAAACTAGGATTAGGGGTCCCACTTAACCCAGCTATTCCTGTTCTGGATATTTTTTCAGAAAAACTGAAAACATCATACCACAGATATATATGTATACCCATGTTTATAGCAGTGCAATTTTTCATAGCTAAAACCTTGGAAACAATCCAAATGCCCTTCAACTGAGGACTGGATAAAAAAGATGTGGTATTCTTATACAATGGAGTATTACTCAGCTACAAAAAAGATAAATTCTAGGTTTTTATAGGTAAATGGATGCAACTAGAGACCATACTCATAAGTGAAATAAATCAGACTGATGTGTAAACATCATATTGTCTCCCTAGGATAAGAACCTGAAAGAGTAAATAAAAACCAAAAAGGTACAATAAATATTATAAAAGGGAAAGAAATTGCTCAAAGGGAAGGAACAACTGGGGGAGGGAAAGGAGAAAAGAAGAAAGAGAAAAATATGTTTGCATATATAAGGATAGCTAGGATAATTGTACTGCTGATGTCTATTGTTTTATTGAAAGGAACAGTTAATGCTCAAATTTTGGGGTCCAATTTTGCATGCTTATGTCTGGTAATCTGAAGAACTAATTTGAAGAATAATATGCAATATAACAACCATTGTTGAATTCCTATCATCTTATTTATTGAAGTTGTACCATTTCTACCATTTTGTTTCATTATTTTTTATTCTCTTTGATTAATCTTGCATTCTTACATCTGGTAATTTCTGAGCAACTTCGCTGAGGATAACTATGTAATATAACAACAATTGTTAATTTCCAATCATCTCTTTTGAAATTCTGTGTTGTTTTTATTGTTTTTTGTGTTGTTTTGTTTTCATCTTTGTTGCTATTTTGTTATTTTTTTCTCTTTAAAATGAAAAAAGAAGAAGTTTTGAGTTTTTACTCTTTTGCCATCCCAAGTACTCCACTAGCAAGAGGCACAGGAGAACTCAACTGTTCTCCCAACAAAGATGCCACACAGGTGACTGAAGCCGTTTGACCTGTGCCACCACCTGTAGAGAACAGCTGTGTCTATTGTACCTACTAGGTTTTGGGGTGGGAGGTATCATAGCAGCACCAAATCCCCAGAAGGGCTTAGTAAATATGTTCTCATTTCAGCCAACCTAGATCCTTGCATAATATCCTCCTGACTTGCCTTATTGCTCTAGCCAAGGTCCACAAGACCTCCATCCCACACCCCTTTCCTCTTTGACTGTCACCTTTTCCTTTTCCTCTTGCTCCTTCCCCTGTAGCCACTCTGGTATTCCTTGAAAAGGTCCCACTGTCGAGCTGCAGAGCCTTGAATCTCTTCTTGAATGTCTACAGGGCCACTCCCTCACCTCCATTAGGTTTGGAATCAAACACCACCTTCTTATGGAGATTTTCCTCCTTCCCTAGACAGTCTGTCTCAAATTGAATCCCTTCATTCCCTAAACCTCATCCCTGCTTTTGCTTTTCTCTTTAGCATTTGTCACTATCAGTGTCTGCCAAAAGTTCCCAATTCATCCCTTTTTTCCTGTCTCTCCTGCTAGGCTTTAAGCTCCATGAGGAATTTTTGTTGTTGTTTTTATCTTTTTTTTTTGAAACAGGCCTCAAACTTGCCCATAACTTTTATTCTCCTGCTTCAGCTTTCTGAGTGCTGGAATAGATGCTCTAAGAGCTACATGCCAGGTTCCCAGGAGGAATTTTTGTTTGTCTTATCCAGAATGCAGCAAGCACTTAGATAAATGATAGGAAGAATGGGTAGACAGAATGCCGCCTTGTCACAGAGGACCTCTCTGACCACACTATCTTTTATTTCCCTTTTCCAGCTTTATTATTCTCCATAGTACTTATCACCACTTGACACATAGTTGTTTACTGTGTCTCTTCCTGAGTTAAAATTCTTTTAACCGAAGGAATTACTGTACTGTACATCTATTTTAACCCCCAAGCCATGGGATGGGAGAAGAGGTATACATAAGTAAATATTTAAAGAACGAATTTTTTTCTAGTGTGGCGCTGGAGATTCGCACTGAGCTACATTCCCAGCCCTTCTTACTTATTTATTGTTTTTATTTTAAGATAGGATCTCTCTAAATCACTAAATTGCCCAGCCTTAAGGTCAAACTTGTGATCTTCCTATCTAATTCCTCCAGGGTGTTGAGGCCACAGGTGTACACCACCATGCCATGTCGGATTAATTGCCTTTTTTAACTTTTTTTTTTTTTTTTTTTTTGACTACAGATCGAATTCAGGACCTTTCTCTCTCCAGGCAGGAGCTTGTGCCACTGAGCTATATCCCTGGCCCCCGAGATAATTTAAGGAATGGGTGAATTAATCTAACATCTAAATTTCTAGGCACCAGACCGTCTCTAGCTAGCAGCTACCGCCACCTCCCCCACAGGACTAACCTGGGGGCTATTTGTGGTTCGGGTCTGACAGCCAGAGGCAGGTTTTAGTAGCGCCTTTCGATTTGCCGCCACTTGGCGTCGCCGGTTTAACTCTAGTCTCTCACAGCGGGCTAATTTCCGGGGCGGTGTCATTGCCCATTTAAGAGCCGAGAGCCCCGCCTTCGGGGCGGAGCTTGGAGGGGGCTTTAAGGGGCGGGCCGGCGAGCGGCCAGGGTCCTCCGGGGATTAGCGCCGGGTGGGCGAGCGCGCTGTGCCGCCATTTCTTGGCGTCCTCTGAGAAGCTGCCCCTTCCTTATCCTCGCTTCGGGGTTTTCCTCTCTGGTTGCCGGTGCCCCGGGGGCCTCCTCGCCGTCGCACCGTCGTCCCCAGCCCAGGTAAGCTCCGGGTCTGGCGGCCCGGCTGCGCGACCCTTCCTCGCCCGCGCTAGGCGGGCGGCCTCGTCTCTGGAGGTGGGCGGGGGCTACGCAGGGTCCCGCGCTGCCCGGGGTTTCCCCTCGGGTCGGTGGTGTGAAGCCCGCCGGAGGGGAGGGGCGGCGGCGGCCAATGGGGCAGGGCGGCTGGGTTTCGGGCGATACCGTGGCGGGGCCGGGTTAATGTTTGCCGCGCTCCCCGCTCCTGGCCGGCGCGCGGCGCACCCGGGCGTCGTGGGAGGGGCGCTGGGCACCCTCACCTACGAGGCGCGTCAGCCGTCCAGCGGGCAAGGGGAAAAACACCTCGAGTTTGTGTCAGGGTCGTACAGCAAGCGCCGGAGTGGACTTTCAGGCTGACTTGCAATTGAGTAACACTTCCGCCACTTGGAAATTGTAGGAGGCAGGTGTGTCCCTGGGAGTGGCGAGGGGTGCGGGCCCTCCCCGCCCCCACCTGTGGCGTGGGTCGTTTAATGATGGGTTTTTGGGTGGGTAAACGTAAGTCGTATTTCTATGGTTAGTCTTACAAATTTTACTTAAGGGAAGACCCGCTTTTTCTTATACTATTTGGAAATATTTAAAATTATTTCAAAAAGTTGAGGGTTTTTTTTTAGTTGGAAAAAAATTGTAACTACCCCCCCCCCCCCCCCCCCCCACTCACTGGTGTTGAAACCGGAGCATTCGCACTGGACTACATCCCCAGCCCTTCTAAAATTTTTTTTGAGACGTGATCGCGCTAAATTGTCCAGGCTGGAGTGAAATTTGCGATCCTCCTGCTTTACCCTTCTACAGTGCTGAGGTTGCTGGCGTGCGCTACGCCTGGCTTCATAACTATAACTGGGTTTATAATGTAACTCACAACTCCACTAACTACATTAGTAAGATAATCTTTTGCTGAGCTCTATTTACTGTAGTGGATTATTTGGACATATTAAGATAGTTTGCAGATTTTTTTTTTTTGACCTAGAGTGACCTCATTAGAAAACGTGTAATTTCGCTGGTGTTGAATTACTCCCTTTGTCTTTTTTGTTTTATTTATTTCTTTGCTTTTGGGGGTTTTTTGTTTTGTTTTGTTTTGTTTTTTTGAGATAGTCTGACTGTGTAGTTCACGCTGGGCTTGAACTCACTATGTAGCCCAGGCTGGCCTCGAATTCATGACAGTCCACTTGCCTCAGCCTCTCGAGTGCTGGGATTACAGGCATGCGCCCACTCCCCCCACCCCACCCCCCACCCCCCCCCCGCGGTTCCCTTTATCTTGATTGGGATTACTGGAAACAAAAGATATTGCTGTATTCATGGCATTTGCTCTAAACTGGTGTACTGATTTATCCAAAAAAGTTAGCAGATCGTGTATGTATGAGTAGACTCATTTCATGATAAACTTTGGAGTTTGGAATTTTGTTTTCCAGGGCTAGGGATTAAACCTAGAGGCACTCTACCACGGAACTACATTCCAGCCCTTTAAACATTTTTGTAGACATCATCTTGCTGTGTTGCTCCGGCTGGCCTCCAGTTTGTCCTCCTGAATACGTGGGATTACAGGCATATGCCATTCATTGTGCCTGGGTGTATTTTTTTAAGCAATTTATGTTAAAATAGTAAACGATTTACTTCAGTTTGCATTTCTGTGATTGAAAAGGAAATCTTCTGTTTTTGAAACTTTAGAAATTAATTTTTTTAATAACATAGCTCTATTATCTAAAATTTCCACTAGTGGAAAAGTAAGACCTAGTTTTGTGTTTTAATGTTGGAAGTAGCCAGTAAAATAAATAAAGCAATGGTTTTAAATTTTAGCTTCTTAATGTTTTGGCCTAAGAGTATCACAGGCCACCTGATTTAGACTGGGATTGCTTTGCTGAGCAAAAGTCATTTCACCTGTAAAATGTAAGATTAGCTATGAGGAAGAAAAGATGGACAGAGAGGTAAAGTAGTGGAAAAAGATTGTTCTAGAAAAATGGAGCACATAATTTAAAAAAAGGCCTGGAATTGAAAAGACTCTTGGGCGGAACGGCATACAGTAGTGGAACCGAAGAGCAACTGGAGTGGGCACTCAGACAAGTAGGAGCCAAATTAGGATGCTGGCCAGTTAAAGATTTAGAAACAGTAATCAGATTTGGGGTGGCTGAAAGTCCTCTGGCTGCAGCTTAAAGAATTGAATTGTTGGGGATGGAAAAGAGAGAATATGGGGATTTTTTTCCCCCAAACCCCCAAAGTGTTTGTTGGTTGATAATCATTCCTATGATACGTGGTTGTTTTTTGTTTTTGTTTTTTTTTTCCGGTACCGGGAATGGAACTCACGATCTTGCGTTTGCCAGGCAGGCGTTGTGCTGCTGAGCTAAATATTGACCCTATTAGAGAGAATGGTTTGTAATAGTTCGCATGTCCTTATAGTCCAAGTGAGAGAGACAGAATCATACCCCAACATGGGATAACACTATTTTCGTTTTTTTCTTTGATTTGATTTTTCACCTACAAATTCTGTCAATATCTAAGTCAACTATTTTTAAAACAACAGTAGTACTATGTGGTATAGCATTATATGCACCATAACGTCTGTAACTCTTTGCTTCCTGACAGCTGTATTTAAAATTTTCTTTTCACATATGATACCCTGAAAAATCCTTCTTGCAACCTAGAGCCCATAAGTCACTATTTTAGGCATTCTATCACAAACAAACTGCTCTGTGAAAGGCTATTTTAAAATATTTTTTTCTTTCTCTTTTTTTTCCTTTTGGCAGTACTAGGGCTTGAAAGCAGGGAGCACTGAGATACATCCCTTTCTTTTTTAATTTTGAGACAGGGTCTCACTAAGTCACCCAGTCTGATCTTGACATGTGATCCTCTTGTCTCAACCTCTGGAGTAGCTGTGATTATCGGCA